ACTGGTGTGCTGCAGTATCTGCAGCTTGGTGCTGACCAGCATGTGAAATATCGGTACGCTGTACAATCCCTTGCAGCTAGCTGACCAGCGAGTAAAGTCTCGAGTGGAGGCCTCTCGATCTGCTCACTCATTCGCCTGGCCTTCAGTAGCACTTAATCGCCAAGGACATCAATTCAAAACAGTTTTCACACTGCGTTTCAAGCCTTTTTCCTCGTGAACTTGCTGCAAACGTATGACCTCTGCTGCGCGTGTTCCTTTTGCGTGAGGCTCAGAAACAGCTAGTATCTCCGTACTTCGATTGGCTGGATCGATGTCGTCCAGGTTCTCCTCGCTATCGCCATCACGACTCTAACTGGAGACGATTTCTTCACCATTTTCCGCAAGCAGCAGCTAGCGCAGAAATTTCGCCATTCCTGAGTGTAGGAGATGGAATCCGTTCGATCAGCTCAAAAACTCTTCGTTGTGACTAGAGGAGTAGCAGGGAATATTCTACCGGAAGCCCTTTGACTTCCCTGACTGCTGAAACCCTTCCTGCCATGAATACTACTTCTTCAAACAAGCGAGATTCTCTTTGGTTCCACTTCACTTCACTCGATCGTCCACGCGACACAACCTTTTTACAAAACATCAATTTTCTCAAAAAAATGATTTTCACCCTAAGCCTGGTTTTCGCAGATTCTGGGCCATATGTAGAGTAGACCTGTATATGCATAAGTACTACTACTACTAGTACTACACTACACCGTACACGACAATCATAATAATTATTTTACACATGTACAATGTATACTCAAGTCTGTGGACAGCAACTGTTTCGCTCTGGGTTGTACTATGTAGCTCTCAACGATGTACTACTGTAAAAGCCATTATTCTAACGAGGCGCATATAATAACGATTTCCCAAAATCGACTGGTTTACGTGTACCAAAGTTAACGATTCTCACTCATTCTCAACGCTCAATAGGACAGTATAATTATGACATAATTATACTGTCCTATTGAGCGTCCTTTTGAGCGTTATGCAGAAATCTATACATTGTATCGATTTCTGTACAACGATTTCTATTTTAACGACAGATTTCTACTTGTTAACTCGTTAGAGTTAGCACTTCGTTATACAATATGTATACACTGTATATGGCTTTTACAGTAGATGTAGTACATAATGTACATGTACCTGTACCTGTAGATCTGCGGAAACTTTTAATGTTTCTTGTCTGGGCTACTCTAGCCACTTGTAGGCCCCGTGACTCAGCTCAGCTGTGCATGTGTGGATCACATTATACTGTTATACATGTACATGTAGGCATTGGCGGATAATGCTCGAAAAGCAGTGAAATTGGAAGAACCGTACAAACCTTATGGCGCGGGCAATTCCTCGAATTCTGCTCCATTTCTTTATCCACATACCAAACATGCATGAAACTTACCAGAAAAAGTACCGAATTCTGCCAATTTTTCTGCCCCATGAGTCAGCTCAGCTGTGTGGATCACAATACATGTACCGTGAAGTACCGCCAGAGCGCCCCACCATCTCATCCTTTCGTTTTTTCGTGGTCGTTTTGTGGAGGTTGTCTGCTGTCTGTAGGTCATACGACATGAACCTTGTACACATATTGCACGTTTTGCAGTCAATCCGTACCTTCGAGAGGACACAAGCTCCACACAAAAACCTGCCTAGTGTGACCTTAGTACACTAAGATTCTCACATCGTACACACTTCGTTGCACTCTGCCATACGATTTTCCTTTCTATGGCTGTAAAATCAAGGTGGGGCGCTCTCGCGAGACAGGGCGCTCTGGCGGTACTTTACGGTACATGTACAGTGGTCCCTCTATAATCCGGCACCATTAATTTTGTGCCCCGGAAATTCTGCTGGATCAGGGAGGGTGTACTGTTGCAATGTGCATGAAGAGGACATTTTGGCTCCTGACAGTTGTGCTGGTTTATGAAGTGCTGGATTAGAGAGTGACGACAGTACTAATAATAATCACAACTTCACAAGGACGTACTAGAACTGGATAGTATTATTAGTAGCCCTACAGACAGTGGAGGCGGATAATGCCTGCAGAAACAATACATTGGCGGAATTTAGGGTATTTTTCTGGTATGTTTCAGGCATGTTCGGCACCACAACATCTCAGTCGTGTGCCTACCGCGTACCGGTACGGGCATGATGAAGCAGTATTACTACTAGTAGTTGCAACGATCACTGTTCAGTGTTCACGCAGAACCTGCCACTTGTTGGAGCATTATTCACCAAGGTCGTACAGTAACAGTTGTTGATCGGTTGTACATGTACATGTACATGTACTTCGACGTACATTTTGCTTTACAAATACAAGAATTGGAAAACAAAATACATGTGCATGTACTTGAAGTACAACCAAAGTCTCTGTCTCTGGGTTCTTCAGGTACTTCGAAGTAGGAGTAGTGTCGCTTTGGTCAAAGACTATACCATCTAATTCTAAAATACTAGTAACTTAGTAATATACAACATGTGTACATGTAAGACCTTAGCCCGGCTGAGGCTCTGCTCCACTCCATGTACAGTAGTCACACTGAATGTAGTCAGGGTACTAGTGCATGACCATGTTGCACGTTGGGAGGGGCAGCATTGGCAGCAGTAGAGAAGAGAAGAGCAAGAGTTGGGCCTTCAGTGCTTCACTGAAACTGCAAAAAGTGCCAAAAACGGCGAAACCCAGAAAGGTGTCACACCCCACAAAGACAACATGAACAACTGCCACTAGTATTAGTGCACTACACGTGGAAGCAAGTGACACTCCACCATCAAGGCATCATCAAGACATCATGGCCACACTAGGACATGGTCATTCATGAACGATTACCCTGTACATCCGTACCCTGTACAGACAACATTCAACAGAATCAACCCTGACAACAGTCAAGTACCAGTAGTCCCTATACTACTGCCGCATGCCGTAGAGTAGACTCAAAGCATCGTCCATAACTACACACTCATGTCCATAATCATTGTACTGCTTCAACTACCTCTCGTCTATTTAATAATAGTTCAAGACAAGTGTATTGCTCCTCTTCAAGTACTGAGTGCTAGTGCCTGTGACTTGAGTCCGTCAACTCTGCATCCTCCGCGATCCGGAGTCTGGTGTGACCTTGTGACCTCGTGTCCTGCATAACACCAATTTTAACCAATCTTGCCGGACCAATTTTACCATACCCGAATGTCGCCTTTGTTATTTCTTTCAGATGACTCCGCCGGCAGCATGACAACTGAACAGCAGCAGGCCAGCAGCCCTCATTGCCGCCGAGTGCCGAGTTCAAGCCAGTTGTATTTCCTGGTGAGTTCCTGCGAGTGCCTCCAGTCCAGGTGCCGTATGGAAGGTTCACCGTTGGCTATTTCCCTTCATTTCACATTCATTATTAATTTTGTCATTGGCAATCGTTCAGTGACGAGCCAGGAAATGTTGAAAATGAAAATGTTACAAAATACAACCGGAAGGCCAGGAAAGACGGGACCTACATGTAGCTAGGTGCAGGTGCTGCTATGTACCAACGTCTAGTATGAGTGACATTGAGTCTGACACATTGTAATACAAGATCGTGACCTTCAGGTCGGCTCCTGAAAAGCACGACCGCTGAATGCAGGTCTACAGTCGACATCCTGCTCAATGAAATCCAGTTGTGTCACTGAAGGACTAACGCTAGTAGTACTAGTAGTAGATCTACTACATGTACTTGCGTCTTGCACCTTTTGTAGCCCTGTGACTCCCGAGTGTGAGGCTGTGTTCCTACAGTCCATTCAGAAAAAAATGAACTTCTAGCTTTTGGCCATAAATGGGTCAAACGTTGAGTTTTTTTAGAATTTTTTTCTGCAATCCCATATGGAATCCTCTTCCAATTATGTTTCTGAAGTTTTTTTGTCCAAAAAGCAAGCCATAGCAAGAATAGGATTTCGGCCAGGTTTTGCCCCAAAAGCACTGAATTTGGAAAAACCATCAAAATCCAGGCCGTTTGACCCCGCCTGCAACAGTGCATTCTGCGGTTCGAACCCCAGTTCAGGCACCCTTTTTGGACCCTTTTTCAAATTTCAAAGTTCGCAGCACTGCACTGTGTACGATGAAATCACGAAAAATCGCCAAATACGGGAGCTCGCCAGAGCCAGGACCAGGGAGTCGTCAAATACCTATAATTATATTATTTGACGACTCCCCCTGGCCAGGACCCATCTTTTTATGAATGGACTGCAGACGTAGACCTAGGCCTAGGCCAGGTCACAGGTGTAGCCCGCAGGCTGTACATGTACAGTTTGTAGAGTGTAGGGCCAGGGGTACGCAACGTACGGCGCGTACTTGAGTGACTCGACTGGATTTCATTGAGCAGTAGATCTACTGAGTACTGTAGTGTAGATAATACAGTAATCATTGTACAATCATCTGCACGGCTACAGCCTGCAACCTGGTCATCAGACTCATTACAGATTCACAGTCATGCAGCACAGACAGAGTCTGGGCCTTCTATCTATCATGACATATGATAAGTACAAACCCTGCATTACTGGGGCGCACGCACACACACGCCACACACACACTCAGTCACAAACACACACACACACACACCACCACCACCCCCTCCTCCCCCCCCCCCCCACACACACACCACCACCCCCCCCCCCCCCCACACACACACCACCCCCCCCCCCACACATACACACATGTTTCCAAAGAACACACCTCACTCATCTCCAACACACACACATACAGCAGACTGAAAAGGAGGAGAAGAAACACTGGGGTGATGGTTTAGAACGACATTTTCTTGTCAAGATCGTCAAGACAAAAAAAACAATTACCTAGCGCAACACACACACACACACACACACACACACACACACACACACACACACACACACACACACACACCACCACCACCCCCACCACCACCACCCCCGTCACCACGGAGTTTTGGAGTTTTATACGCATGCCGGTGCGGCGCACGGCCACAACTAGCAACCGAGTTGGAAACGTTTACACAAGCTCTCAAATTCTGCAAAACAAAACAAAACGAAACTGGGAACTCACTATAAAATTAATGCCCTAGCCATTGGCAGACACGAATATCAACAACAAAAAACAAAATAAAGCTTAATTAAAAAGGAACCCTATGCTCGGCACAGACACGCATAGTCAACAACAACAACAACAAAACGGCTTTCTAGACACTCTGCGTCGGGAGAGATATTTTACTATGTCCAACAACAAACAAACATCATGCACTGTATGCAGCACCGCACAAACTCACCACCACCACCACCGCCACCACCACCACCAACAACGATATTGTTTGTCAATAGAGTTTGTTTCTGTACTAGATCGAAAACAAACAAGAAAAAATGGGAGAGGATTCCGCGGCCAAGTTTGATGCCCGGGCCGATACCACCTCGTTTCAGAAGCGTACTTCGCTGGCTAATCCAAAGCAGAAAGCACCTCGGATAGATGTACTAACACTAATCTAGCTACTATATATTTGCCCCAACTACCTTGCCATGGCCATGGGGAGAAAAAGAAAGATACGACAATGAGAAGTCAACGAGAAACAAGTCGCAAGTGGCATTTATTATTATTATTATGATCTGTTATGAGCGCACACTGTACATGTGTGCACGCCATGCGCCCATACACATGATTGCGTTACCGGAGGCGGAGTTTGCACTCAGACGTCCGTGAGAGAAACGGGGGAAGAGCGGCGAAGAAGAGCAGCGGTAGTGGTCGCCAGGAGTCAAGACAGGTCTTGCGTGTGTGTTTTTGTTCGCGTGACGTCACGGCCAGTGCGTCGTCGGGGGTGCCAACACATACACCGCGATACGACACGTCGTGTCTTTCTCAGTAAAGTGCACTATACAACCGACCGACGGCGACACCAGCAGAGCTCACCGCCGAAACTGAAGTCAGCCTCCGTTGAACGGAAGACACGGGCCGGGGCTTTCGTTGTCATGGTGAGAGGCGGAACGTCAGCGTCGCAGTGAACGTGATACGGGCCGGGCTGGACACGACCACTCCGAAGACTACTCGCTTAGTGCAGGTGGTGATAGGTGCTGGAAAGTGCGAGTGCTGTCAGCGTTGGCATGCCAACACTGGAGGCCGGGCGGGGTGGGGTGGGGGGGGTAGTAGTATAAATATCAACTCTCAACTTCTCGTGCAGCTAGTTGCCGAGCTCCCAAGAGAGGTGTGTGCGTGACGCCCGAGTACCAAGTACACTTGCCACCATGGCTGTCATGGTTGTTGTGGTTGCTATGGAAGCGGGCTGATACAGAGCAAGCAATCATCGAACTGCAGACAAACGTGTACTCAGCTCAGTGCAACAACCCTCAGGTCCCTCACAGGATGGTCGTGAAACACTGGGAGACTGAGAACCACACCATAGCCAGCAGCGTAGCTTGCTGAAACCCGCTCGCCTCCAAGTAGCTACTAGTAGTCTTCTAGATCGTGTCCTTGACAACGAGCACAGGCGGCTCCACCAGCAGAGGGGACATTGGCGATGACAGGTTATCATGACTGGCGGACAGACGCACATCACGGGCACTTTCCGATCGCGTTGTGGCGTCTCGCAGATGATCCAGCGACACTCCTTCTCGCAGTTGAATCTCACTGTGGCACGAGGAGATCATGGGCGCCTGATGCGTGCCGTCCTCGTCGTCATAGCGACCGTCCGCCGCGCTCCACTCGTCACCGGAGATCTTGGGGCGACCGTTGGCAACGGACGACGATAGTGCTGTTGTTGTTGTCGTAGCAACATCACTGTCGGTTCTGGTGGTTAGGTGGTGAGGTTGCGGAGGTGGCGATACGGTTAGATCAGGATGAGAAGCGGCGCCGCCATCAGTAGCTGCGTTGATCTATAGAATGTACAACACAGGGGCAGACACACACACAAATGTAGGCACACTCACGTACACACACACACACAGACGCACACACAGACACACGTACACACATACACACATATCACACGCGCAGAGAGTTGCAATGCTGTGACAATCACTATACGCAACAGGCGAGGCGAGTCGCAGCATCTGTCAACAGATAATAGATTTCCAACTCATAGTATAGTGGTCAGGAAACACATGACATTTACTTACAGATTGCGATGAAACGGAAGCGTTGTCGGCTGATTCAGGACTGCCAAGGGACGAACTATCTCGTGACGCAGCGCGGTTGACAGGTTCCAGCATTGGCAACGGAGCCGGCATGCCTCGTGGCCGCTTACCCTGGTGTTTACCTATTCCTCTGTTCACACGTGCAGATAGAAGAGAGAGAGAGAGAGAGAGAGAGAGAGAGAGAGAGAGAGAGAGAGAGAGAGAGAGAGAGAGAGAGAGAGAGAGAGAGAGAGAGAGAGAGAGAGACAGAGAGAAGAGAGAGACAGAGAGACAGAGAGAGAGAGAGAGAGAGAGAGAGAGAGAGAGAGAGAGAGAGAGAGAGAGAGAGAGAGAGAGAGAGAGAGAGAGAGAGAGAGAGAGAGAGAGAGAGAGAGAGAGAGAGAGAGAGAGAGAGGGAGAGAGAGAGAGAGACAGACAGAGAGAGAGAGAGGGAGAGGGGGGGGGGAGAGAAAGAGAGAGAGAGACAGACAGACACAGACAGAAAGAAAGAAAGAAAAAGAGAAAATATTGAGAAGCTTAGGATAACTTGAACTGCACAGCTTTTACTGCATTTCTCAACAGTAGTACACATTCAGTAGACCACTAGTAATGATGATTGTTATCCCTTGCTCTAGTGATTTTCAGCACAGAATGAAGGCAGAATTTGAATTCTCAGCACAATTGTCACCACCAACATGCTATAACTTTGCACATACTTCAGAAAGGACAGGTTGAAGATCTTCTTTGGCTTCTTGCTGGAGTAGGACGGCTTGCTGCCAAATTGTATAGTACTGCTTGATCCGGGACGACGGACAAGCTAGCCAGAAAGAAACAAGAGAGTGACAGGGCACATTAGTCTAAATCAACAAATATTCGGAGCATATTTATAATTATATATTTGAACTCTGGTACTGAGCCTATCGTAGAATGTAAAAAAGAGAAAGGACAGACACATGGGTTACTCTTAACTCGCAACCCATAATTATGTCCCAGGGATGAATTTATCCGGTATCGCATCGCAGTTTGCTACGCCAAATCGATCTACTGCTACTCAAAAATCACAGTGACACGCAGAAAGCTGCGATGCATACACATACAGGCTATCCATGCCTTTTTGTAGCTTACGCCACAACTGAGATTTTGCATAGCAAAAACTGCTATGCAAAAAACTAACAGTAAATTCATCCCTGTGTCCTTTCTTCTTTTTTCGCATATGATATACCGTATTATCTCTAATATAAGCACAGTCTCCAATAATAGCACGTCTCCAATAATAGAACACCTTGGGGCGGCATTCAAAAAATAAAGTGCTCAGTCTCCATTATAAGCACACTGTGTAAATTCATTATCTGTACCGGCGAAAAAACCCTGAAATGTGCCTGTCTGACATGGATTTGGTACGGCAACATGCCTCTGAAATGAGGTTGAAATAATAATGGAACAGTCTCCAATAAAGGAACGTCTACTTTAATAGCACGGGGCGGAGGTACATTGAAAAAATAAAGGACCGTGCTTATATTAGAGATATTAATACGGTATGCAAAAAAGGGCCAAAAATAGCCGAATACATCGTATTTGGCTATTTTAGTTTTGCAGGGTTCAGTGTGACAGTGTAGGCAGGCAGAAGCAGTACAGGCTGAAATTTAAAGGCGGCTGAAATGTGTTTTAGCCCTGGGAGGCCGACATTTTAAAAACGCGCCGAAAATTCGTAGACTTCCAGTAGACTACGGTAATGTCCAGTAGACTACGGTAATGTCCAGTAGACTACGGTAATGTCCAGTAGACTACGGTAATGTCCAGTAGACTACGGTAATGTCCAGTAGACTACGGTAATGTCCAGTAGACTACGGTAATGTCCAGTAGACTACGGTAATGTCCAGTAGACTACGGTAATGTCCAGTAGACTACGGTAATGCACCAACCACACTAGAATGAGCAGCGCTGTACGTTGCTTATTCGGTGTTCAGTCATCCGGCACGTCGCTCACCCAACAGAGCATACTCACAGCTCATACACTACTCTAAGACAGGTACCTATATGATATACATGCTGCTCTAGGCTGCATCACGCAATGCCCGCTACTTTTTGTAGTTTGAGCACTCTGGCGCTAGAGCGACGAACTATCTTTAAAATGTCTGTGGTGCCTCCTTTGCACCATGGCTGGTAGCTCGGCCTACTTAGCTCGTAGCTGTACTGATGAGGCCTTGATGGCCGAAACAGCTTGCTGTCTACAGCATTGGGGACTGTAGTGTCGCGTATAAAAGCAGGACCTGTATAGAAGCATGACTCGAATAGAAGCCGGGTTTTTAGAAGCGCGTCGTGACACAGAAGCATGGTTTGAATAGAAGCCTCTCCCTGCAAAGTACATGGCTATTGTGCACGTATATGCGTGGCAGTATGCACTGCACAGTGCAGACGGATGATGTTGACGTAGAAGCATGTTATGAATAGAAGCATAACTTGTATAGAAGCATGGTTTGAACCCCGGCTTATACGGCCGTAAGCACCTGCTTTTATACGCGACATTACGGTATATGATTTACATGTAGGAAACGAGGCAGTAAATCTAATGTTTTAAATGGTAACATTTCTTCGTTATAATAAGATCTGTTTAGGGTGTAAGGCCTTTACAGTGACGGATCATGTGACTGATCACGTGACTGATCGCATGACTGATCACATGACCAAGTCCCCAGATCACACGACTGAGTGACTGATCCCCATGACAGATTGCATGACTGATGTGTGACTGATGTGTAACTGATCATGTGACAGATCATGTGACTGATTGCGTGACTGATGTGTGACTGGTCATGTGACTAGTGCTAAGAGGCTGACTGCCAGTGATTGCTGGCCATGTGGATCAGCCTGTCCACCCCACATGACAGAGGTCACTTGGGAATTGTTGGGATCCCTGTACATTGCGTGAAATCTCTGTCATCACGGCGTGGGTGTCAGTGTGTGCAGTCACCCTGGTCAGTCACACCCTGACACCATGAAACACGCTGTCTACGTAGTATCGGTGTTATGAGACCAGTGAAGAAAACAGCCACACAAAAAGAACAGAGAACAGAGCACCGAGAACAGAGAGCATAGGACATAGAAGAGAGAAGGGAGAAGAGAAAACATAGAAACAAGAAGGGAGAAGGGAGATGAGAGAACAGAGAACAGGGAGCAGAGAGCAGAGAACATAGAAGAGAGAACAGAGAACTGTAGAGCTGCAACACTGTAAAACTGTACCTCGGCGCCCAAGCCTTCAGCACTCTCCGGGCTGGTGACGCCTTTATCGTAGGACTGACGCCGCTGGAAAGGAGGCTTGACATTACCATTGCTTTGAGCACCACTGCATGTAGCAGGCAGGCAGGCAGGCAGGCAGCAACAGCAGCAGCAGCAGCAACAACAACAGCAACAACAGCAGCAAACACACGCATATACACACACGCAAACAAGGATAAAATATGTGCAGAGTAAGTTGTCAAAGAGTTTTGACATTTTCCTGTGGTTAAGAGTTGTGTTCATCACTGTTGAGGGTTCTGATGGAAAATAGGGACGTTTAGGAATGCGAAAGTTCGAAAGAAAATTCGAGTCTGAGAATGAGTACAGAAACAGAGGTCGAAACTTCGAGAACTTGGACGCGAAGTTGCAGTGGTTTGCGAAAGTTTTTTTCCTCGGTACGCACTTGACGGCTGGGAGTAGTAATTTTACAGCCCTCTGCTTAAGACTGAGTTGCATATACGGTACGGTATTAGAGAATTCAAGTAACTTCAAGAAAAAGTAATTTCGCTTTGCTAAACCTCACAAGGTTTCCTTCTGCGAAATATAGTTTTGCGAAATATCATCCCCATCAAAAGTTCGAACTTTCCCGTTGCTAAACGTCCCTAATACCAGAATACTACTACTACTACTATCATGCGGCGGCTGTCACTCACCTGCCCTCGCTCTGAATGCCCAGCAGTCGGCGTGCTTTCGGCGAGTTGCTAATGTTGTCAGTAATGGTGACGTCGGGCCCACTTCCCAGCACCTGCTGTAAGGATTCTAGGCTTGCTGCACGTCTTACACCGCCGGAATGGATGGACGAAACTGAGAGACGACGATGTCCACTCTCTGTTAGCGATTGCAGAAGCAAAAGGGCAGAAGACACCAGTCGGAAGGTCAAGTCCTATGCGAATGATATACGCAATAAACGACCAATTTCAAAGCTTTGAAACATTCCACATTGCGCTCTTCGCCCACATCCACAACACCATACTCTATAACGAGGAAATCCGTTCAGGGGTAGATGTGGCATATCTTCCACGGAGGAGCTCTCAATGAGCGACACAGCTGTCTGGAGGATATGGGGTCTAAGCCGTAACCTCCTTTTTGGGCCCAATATTCGTGTTGTGGGTATTTGTACATGTACACACAAAACGTTATCAGTGGCTTAGCAGCACAACTGAAATTCTAGCAAAAATTGCCTAAAGTGTGTCCTTCACCCAGAACTGACAACATGTGGAAGCTTCGCCAGTGCTAGTGCACTGATGGATTGCTGTACATGAACAGTTTTTGAATGAAGTCATACATGCATTTTTACATGCATGAAGTGCTGTAGCGCTGGTCGAATCACATCCAGCATTCCGAGTCTATGCTGCAGGGGCGATTTTCGAGTTTTTCAAATGCGTTTTAAAGTGCGGTTGACACGCCCTGGAAAATTCAGTGCCCTTCTCAGAACTGCCACCGATTGGCTGGATTTCCCCCGTATCGCAACTGCACTGTGTGATGACATACATGTGAACATGAAAAAACAGGACAACCCGGTCAATGCGACCACTCGGATAAGGCGACCACCTGCCCCAGAAGACCACTGTAACCAGGACGAAGGGATGTTATTTCCAGTCAAATGACCCTGGATAAGGAGACCACCTGGTAACATAGGCCACGTTTCGAAGGTCCCTTGAGCGGTCGTCTTAGACAGGTTAATTGGATAAGGCAACCACCTGTCCCAGAAGACCATTGCAACCAGGACCAAGGGATGCTATTTCCAGTCAAACGTCCCTGGATAAGGAGACCACCTGGTAACAGAGACCATGTTTCGAAGGTCCCTTGAGCGGTCGTCTTAGACAGGTGTATGTTTCACTGCAGTGACCACAAAGAATATGAGGTGGCGAGGACAAGGTTGCACTCACCTTCCATGGCCTGCTCCAGAATATCACCATCGTCGGTCACAGACCCACCTTTTCCAGCTGAGTGAAAGACAAGAAACATACGCCAGAGAAAAGAGAGAGAGAGAGAATGACTATTGTGCATACAATACCGTCGGGCGCCGAAGAACAGAGCGCCGAAGAACGGACAGGCTAGAATTTCACCAAGCACAGCATACCAATGCAGGGTTCTAGCCAGGTCAAAAATAGTAGTGGGAGAGAGGGGGGGGAAACAGTTACCCCGTAACCCATTTTTTCCATTTTCAAATTAACTGTCTTGCAATGCGTAATGCAATGCACGGGGCAAACACCTGACTTCACCCCAGGCAAATGTGCCTTTATGAACCCTCTAGTACTGACTACCGACTGCATTTTCGTTGAATGGCATGAAAAAACCACAAAAAATCGGAAAATGAGTAGTGAGGTGGCACTTTTTCACCGGGGCACGCAAACAGAGTGTGGGGGGGGGGAGGAAATGGACAGATGGGCAGACGAACAGACAGATAGACAGACTGACGGGCGGACAGACGGATTGACAAGCAGAATGATTTAGACACAAACACAGACACGAACACAGACAGACAGACAGGCTGATGAGATCACAGACCCAAAGGCATGCATCGTGTGTTGCTTGACGCGCCTGTTGTCCAAAAGAAGAAAAAACGCAGCTCCTGAAAGTCTCACCTTTCTTCCTCTCCTTCAGTTGGATGAAGAACTCGGAGTTCCTAGCATTCAGACTGGTATGGCCTCGCTCGGACATGGACTTTCTCCCCGGTCCACTCCGACTCAGAGGTGGTAGGGTGTCCTCCTCCAGCTCTCCAGACGCGTTCTGTTCGTCTTCGCGTTCCGGAAGAGGATCGCCGTTCTCGTCATACCGAACCTGATACGGCTCATCTGGATTAGGATCAACAACCAGAAAAAGGTGCAGGAGAATGTAGAATATCCACTAGCCAAGGGAATGGAAAAGGGAAAAGTTTGAAGAAAATATTGACTGTCACCGCAAGGACTCGAACTAGGGACTGCTGCCACCGCCGCCACAACAACTATCATTGCTGCCATGGCCCTAACTGCCTAGCTCTGCCGCCACCACCACTGCAACAACCACCACCACAAAGAACACACACTATATACAGTATAATCTGGTATAAGCGACCACTCCACAGTGCTAGCAAAAGCGGTCGTTAAAGCCAGGTGGTCTTTAGAACCAGATCCCACAGTTTCTGTGTAGAACTGTCGGTGCATGAGAAAACGGTCGTTAAAGGCAGGTGGTCGCTAAACCCAGAGGTCGCTTAAACCAGGTCTTGCTGTACCACCCTCACCACTGCAACTACCACCATCACCACCACAAGGAACACACATGATTACACATCACCAGACTTACCAAGCTCCAATTCGCCGTTGTCGGGCAGCCAAATAGTTCCACGCGTCCTCGCCTCGCTGCCCGTTAGCTGCTCTGCACCCGCTAGCGGATCAGCGGAGTTGTCCGGCCCGTCAACTATGTACATATACACACACACGCACACACGCACACATGCATACACCCACCCACAGCCAAGCCCACAAACACATCACACGAACCCGGTCAAAAAAATTCCTCAGACTTTCCCATTTCAACTTCCTCAACCTTTTTACTAATATGAACGACAATAAAAATGGAAGCAGTTGACAAAAAGCAAACAAGGAAACAGGTGATGCACAGTTCATGCACAGTCACGGTGGTGGTGGCCATACCTTGCGGTAGTGCTGGTCTTTGCTTCCTGTGCTTCTTGGAGAACTTCCGCGGCAGAGTCACGTAGTTGTGTGGGTACTTTCCATACTCAAGTCTGCCACACGGAGAGAGAGAGAGAGAGAGAGAGAGAGAGAGAGAGAGAGAGAGAGAGAGAAAGAGAGAGAGAGGGAGAGAGAAGGGAATGGCAAGAAGACAGGGTCGTTGCTGCACTGCATCTGGCCACACCGCCATTCGTACATGATTCACCACATCGCATTGATGACCTCATTATGTTACCGCATCATTCATTGCATTATGTTGAAGTGCACGCTGTGTGTGTGTGTGTTGTGTGTACGTTGTGTGTGCGTGGTGGTGTTGCTGCATGCGCGTGTTGCTGTGATGTGAAAAGCAGTCTTCGTCTTGAGTTCGTCATGTCCAGTTGTGTTTCGTCGTCGTCGTGTCAATAAAGCCTTTCCAAACGCAATTATCTCGTCGTCTTGTACAAATGTGGAAATTGCATGGTGCTGGGAGCGGGAGAGAAAATCCAGTTACAACAATTACATCATCATGCCACGGATGACATCATTATGAACTCACCGTGACCAATCGTTGACATCAACCGGCAGCTCGGAGTTGCGGAGTTTCTTGTCGTAGTGGACGTGACGCTCTACTTCCTCCTCGTATTCCCCTTCGTCGCTGCTGCCATACTGCCGCTGTTGTTGCTGCACCCCACAGCACATGTACACGGGCACATACACACACACGAACGCACGCACACACACACACACGTTGCACACACGCACGCATGCATACGCACACACGCACACACGCACGCATGCACACACAAACACACACACAACACACACAAACACACACACAACACACACACCCGTCGCACACACAAACACACACGCACGTAGCCACACATGCATGCACATGCATGTTGGACATCAGAAACTGAGAATACAACAGCCCTTCACCCAAAGTAATGAAAATAGTTTTACACGAAACGCATTCCCGGCACTGCAACTGTCAGTAGTATGGTATAACATAACATAGATGTGTGATGCTTAGGTCTACTGGAAAATTTCCACATTTGAAAACAATAAAGTGGGAATACAAGGACAAAGCTGCACCACAGCTCAGTGGCTAGAGCATTGCAGGCCTCAAGCGAAAGTCTCTGGTTCGAGTCCTGGTGGTGACAGGCAATTTTTCTTCAGACTTTTCCGTTTTCATCTTCCCCTCAACCTTGTGGACAAGGACACAGACTAACATATACCAGTGGTGAGGTTGGACCTGGGCAAGTACAGTAAATCCTGTAACTAAAGACCACCGTGACTAGCGACCAGCCTGGTACTACAG